TGCCAACCTAGCAGTTCGAAAGCACGTAAAAAATGCAAGTAGAAAAATAGGGACCACCTTTGGTGGGAAGGGAACAGCGGTTCCGTGCGCCTTCAGCGTTTAAGACATGCCAGCCACATGACCATGGAGACGTCTTTGGATAGCGCTGGCTCTTCGGCTTTGAAACGGAGATGAGCACTGCCCCCTAGAGTCGGGAACGACTAGCACCTATGTGCGAGGGGAACCTTTACCTTTACCTTAGACAATGCTGTCACACATTAAATCAAAACCTACCTGATGCTGTGATCATAATATTGTCGTTATGCCGATCTCCTATCCCAAGTACGAAGGTTGCCACACAATATCCGGCACAAGAATACACAAACCGCTCCACGGCGGCCTGAAACTGTTAAGAAAAGGGTTAAGGTTAGCGGTACATGCTTTCAACAGTTCATTTAGGGACCGTTCAAAGTTACGGCGACAATGGAAAAAGTGAGCTATGACCGTAAGCCTCACACTTACGACCCCATGGTTACGTGATTAAAATCCAGGCGCCTGGCAACTGACTCCTATTTATCTGGTCCCCTTTTGCGACCTTCTAACAAGTGAAGTCAAGGGGGAAGCCGGATTCAACTTAACAACCAGGTTAGTAACTTGACAACTGTTAACGGTCCACTTAGCAACTGTGGCCAGAAAGGTCGTAAAATGGGGGAGAGCTCACTTAACGAGTGGGTTTCGCTGCTTAGCAACGTATGTCTTGGGCTCAACTGTGGGTCGTAAATCGAGGACTACGTGTATACGCAAAATCAATTTAATCCAATGGTTTTGATTACAACCAAGGTTGCAATTGTTCAGTTGGTGCTGGCAACTCAACAACCTTCACATTCTTGCATAGCTGTGGTTGTGATTGTTTCACAAATGATCAGGCAAGACCGAGGATTTACTAAAGAAAAGCAGAGTAAATGGGGAGCGTTTATCAACTCACAAGGCACAGTGAAAAGAAAACTTTTTTAAAAAAAAGAAATGATCTAAAACAAAAACAGACCAGTGAAATATATAGATACTTGTTCTGGCCTCCTTCCATCCGGTAATGAGCGCAGACACAGGCTTAGCTGTTTGCCACTCTTTATTCACAGCAATTATAATCCTGTTGGCTGAAAGCCCAGACACGA